ATAAAAAGTTATCACTTCAAAAAAAGACAACGCAGAAATAGGGATAATGTAAAATATAAGGAACTACACAGAAGAGAGCAATTAAGGAGGCGGTACGTTTTAAGGCGGAAATACTATATTTTGTTCTTCTCAGTACGCAAAAGTAATTGATTTTTAATTAACTTGAAAGTTTAAAATTGACCACCAAACCATATAAAAATAATGTCGATCGCTAAATTTAATTAAATTTATTAGGTAGGAAAGCAACACCGCATCTGCCTGACGCGCCCAAAATGAAAGCGCAGCTCGCACCTATCTTGGCAACCGTGCCAGAGCATTGCGAGACATCACACAGAAAGCAAGAGTTTATTCAAAATTATTGGCACCCTAAGATTGCATTCAATGAGAAAATGGCAAAAATGTGCACTCACCCTTACGACTCAGCCAATTCTCCTGAAGACTCATGGCAACATGGAGTTAGTCCGTCTAGTCGATGTTCCCAACCAATTTGACTCCAAACGTCACAGAGCGACTGGAAAATCGGGTTTTCCTGCTAAAAGCGCTCTGCTGACCAGGATTTTTCCTTAAAACGACCGAAGACACTATCGTGGTTGACTAAAAGTCACATTTCGGGTTTATATGGCGATATGACTGGGTTTTTGAGAATATTTTGAGAAAGAAATTCGCGCAGCTTGCAATCGGCGACCGGTGACCGAAGAGAAGCGTTGGAATAGCGCTGCAACGTACCGCGTGTGAGTGCGTGCAATCAAACCAACAAAACGAAAGTCGATGATTGTTTCGACCGAGTTCCACTCAGCGTGTGGAAATCAGTTTCTGAGGCGTTCTGGGAGACTTTCTTCTTTTGAATTCGTACTTGTAGTAGCATGCAGATTCAGGGAAATGATTTGAGGTAAAATAGGAACTTGGCTTTCTGATTACAGCTCACTGTTAGGGAAATTTAATTAAAACAATTCAATTGCAATGTTATAATGTACATTTAAATAACGAGTTCCTCTATACAAAAAGCGCTACTAAAAGAAGATGGATTTAAATATCTTAGAATAGGTAGATACATCAGTGTATTTAAATATCTTGAAAGCCATACCTTTTGAACCAATCACGTATTATTGCCAAAATCGATCCAAACAGTCTGGTGCCAAAACAGCTTAAAAAAGTTACAACATATCGTTAATATGGCAATTTATAAACATTTTGATGCGGTGTTTGCATACCTTTAGAGTGTACGAAACATCTAAATGTCAGTAAACGCCTTCTTACTTTGGCTTAGTGCCGGGACTTATTTTACGTTCTTCTAAAGGTATACTAAATTATCTTAGCTAACAATGCCTAATTTGGACACATAAATATTTAATATAGATTGTATATCTGAAAGATTCAAACATAATGTGTGGACCTGTTAGAATTTATTGTCCGGGAGTCCATTTAGAATATTTTTATTTCACAATGATGATGATGTTTAGTGTATACAGTATTTAAAACGGCATACATAATAATATACCTTATTCGTTCCCCTACAAAAGTAGTAGTAAAAATATATTTTTGTTGGGCACATGTAAACCTTTTAACCATTAGAAACTAGAACAAGTTGGTCTTATAAAAATACTCACGTTTGCATGGATGCGTAATAAGTTAAGTATTTGATTCAATACGATCTAAACTACAAATTATAAAACACTTTTCAAAGATTTAAAACCATATCACAATGCAAAAATTTCTTATGTAACCATGATTTTTTTACTTCTTCGTATCACAAAATTGATATAAAAGTTAACGCGTATATTAATATGCCAAGAAGATTAAAACAGCCTCTGGTGAAACTAGGTAGCTTAATTATCATTATTTCATCGGTAGCGCAAACGTTGATCCACGGTGCAAACAGTTAAATGCTGAAGAAACTTTTCTATCTTATTGGAATATTAATATATTTTAGAGGCTTTAAACTTCACCTATAAATTTGCACACCGGTTCGTAATAGCTTAGATGTTCGATGGATAATATAACAATGTTGTGTGGTCGCCTGGTAATTTCTGCGTATCACTTCAATTGACATCATTCAAGAGGACAAGATTTCGGTATAGATGTTTAGGCATTACTTTATATAACAAAATATTTACAAACATCTAATAACAAATAGTGGTGTCACCTGCAAACTATCATCAATGGAAGAGCAGCTGCTGTTGTTGCGCTCCCATAGAATTGGGCTGTTGTGAAATTGTACTCATCGAACCCATAGGACTTAGCGGAGTAATCATTGGGGCAATTGATTTCATACCCTGAAAAAAGTAGGAGGTAATAAAATAATTGGCCTCGTCAAAAACATAAGAAGTGTTCAAACTTRAACTGATACCCACTTGGAATCAAGCGAAGAAATGTATTGACCGATTAATAAGCCTTGAGTGTTGTGATTTAATATATGTTTGTTAGTCTAGGTGAACTAGTGGAGGTTTTCAAATTTCTAMTGAAAAGTGCCTGARAGTGGTGAAACTTTGAAAGTTCTGTGGTGTATAGAGTGAGTTTTCCAGTTATTGACATAACCGGGCGTAGAAATCGATGAAATTTAAAAAAATGTKGCAGAATTTTGCAAAAGGCCAAGCCGTTCAAACTTGCAGGATTGCACAAAATCGGTATTTCTCTTTCAATTGCAAAACCGAGAACATTTTCAGCTTCTTTGGTGCGGCAGGAATTAATTTTTAAAWCGGAGCTTGACAAATCCGCGTATACATTTTTGGTTGGATTTAAATAGTTGCGAAAAAAGATCTGAAAACGGCGCAATTTTGAAACTCTTAGGAYTCATAGAGTCGATTTTACTCTATCAAGTGCAAAGTCAAGCAGACCTACAGCTCGCTCGGTTCGGCAGGAATTTTTTTTAAATTGGCGCTTGGCAAAACTGCGCATAAATTTAKGTTGAATGTAAAAAATTGCCGGAAAATCCCTGAAAATAGGGCAATTGTGAAATTCTCGGGATTTGTAGAGCCGATTTGTCTCTATCAGGTGCAAAAACGGGCAAATCTCCAGCTTTTTTGGTTCGGCAGGAATGAATTTTTAAATCGGCGCTCGACAAAACCGCGCTTAAATTTAGGTTCAATTTAAAAAATTGCGGGAAAAGCCCTGAAAAGGGCGCAATTTTGAAACTCTTTGGACTTGAAGAGGCGAATTGTCTCTATGAGGCGCAAACCGGGCAAATCGTYAGCTTTTCTGGTACGGCAGGAATGAATTTTTAATAGCACTAAACGGGGCTTTATACATTGAGAGTGCACTGCCCGTTCTGACTACATAGACTTCAGATATACGTACCATTTGAGGCAATTGTGGAAAAATCGGCTGACTCAACATGGGTGCCACAATCGGCGTTGCGGTAGGGGCGGCAGGAGTGAATAATGTGCCAAATGGGGCGTTGTTCAACTGTTGGTTCATAGGCTTGTACCCCGCCCCAGTGGTTGCGGACATCGGTTGAGGCGTCCAACTGGGCTTGGAACTGTTTTTACTGGAGTTCCACTGTACACCCCTAAAAGTCAGCATTAGATAAAATTTTCCCATTTGCTAGGAACAGGTCTTACTTAATGGTTTGCTTCCGGTCATTGATGGTAAGGTTCTCAGCGAGGGACGCCAAACTGGATTCAAGGTCTCCTGTTAGTAAGCCCCCATTTGGCGCTTGCTGACTACCATCGGCAGGCGTGCTATTAGTGAGTGGAGTGCCATTCGTAATTTGCCCGTTGTTGTTGATCGGCTGAAGAACTCCGCCAAGGGCATCAAAGTTTCCTGCGATTTGATATGACATTTTTCAGTGGTTCTCACTGAGATGTAATAATCAGCATAAAAAACTTGAAGCAACAAGCAAAGATGTTTGTTCTGCTTTACTACTGCTACTAAACATGCAAGATATGGTTGTTGCGCCCGTAATTATCTAATTTTCATATTTTACATCCACATTCAAATGGGGAGAAAAGTACTCTATTACACACAGCACAATTGAATGTAATGCGTTTGTATGGGCGAAAATTAAAAAAATCATCAGTGATACAACTTCTATTCATATATCAACTTCTGTAAGATTTTGGAGTTTGTCGCAGTCAGTCATGTGTGGTATAGCAAACGTTTAAGTCAACAACGTTATAGTGACTTTTCAGAAGAAATTTTCTATTATCTATTATTGCAAATTGAATTGACGTTGCTGCACTTTCTCCTAACATTTTGCCAGATTGAATTCTTCCCTCATTCATAAGTTAATTATTTGGATTATGATTATTTCTTCTGGTCGCTTCCAGGAGTTTTTTTTAATCTAATTCAATCTTTGAATAATAGGTAGTTTTAGATGATCCATTTCTGCGGTGTTTTGAAGCCCAGGGCGGTAGCCTTATTAGTGTTCAAAAGTCGATGAATACAAAGCTATGATTGGCTGTTTACAGAAATTTAAGCGTAAGTAAACAAGCAGATCTTTTGTCTTCTACCACGAAATAGAGAGGGAGAAGTTAATTAACCAACTCAAAAAAACATTCAGTAGTCACCATCTTATGTTTGAAATAGTGAGTTCGCATGCTCATACAAGAAAAAATGGAAAATTAGTAGTGAAAATCACCTGTATATTGCTTGATATTGCTACATGGAGAAAAGAAGGGCAGGAAAAACATCGTGCTGAAAAGGTGACTTTGACCTCTTAAAAGTAAAATCAGAATTTTCAAACTAATGCTGTTTAAATGTGTGTCGGTAAAAGATCAGACATTTTCATGGCCAACGTTACCAACTAAATCCGAGACAACGCACTTTTCTTGAAAGAAATCAATGACGTTTTGAAAATGTGTTCTTTCCGGTTTGGTTGGGGATTCCAGGTCAAGGAGGGGAGGATTCTTATCTTCATTTAGGAACGGATTGTACGAAATGGGGAGGGTTTCATCGGCAGCTTGCAGACGAAACAGACAACTGTTAGTGAATATAGTAAAATTTAAAAAAATAAATAGCCAAAACGAATAATTGTCGAGTTAAATTGCAAAATGATGATGGATGTGCCAGAAAATGAGTGCTGTGCACCGCTAATCATGCGCCAATAATTTGGTTCACTCTCGACCCAAGTAACAATTTTAACGATAATTTCATAAACATAAAAACAAGACTTCGATTCAACTTGAAATCAGTTTTAACTATTTCTTCGTGCAAAACAARTCTTAGCAGCATATAATTTTTCAACTACAACAACGTGGAAACTCAAATTAATTGTATGCTTATTTCAATAAACTTCTTAACTAGTTCCACTGTTAACACACATTTTCGTGGTTGAAGGAATTCAAGACTAAAAATTTTTGATTAGTTTGGTTGCAGTAGGCCAGGATAACAGTGGATTTTCAAGTGTCTACACAGCGACACCGATACGCTTGCCGCGTCAATACAACGCGTCGACACTTTTTATGTATTGGAAGGTAACAGAGTCGAAGGCTTTATTTCTCGGTTTATATCGTACACTAGTTAACTAATGCAAAAAAATTGCTACTTGGGAAGACCCAGTTGCATATCGGGGGCTAAGAGGAGTAAGCGGCCTTTTTATTTTTCCCAAATTTGTAGTGGCAGCCCTGTGCGGTATTAATATACAATTCCTGTTAAATATACGACACTAAAAACTGTGGAAAAAAATTGAAGTCCTATACATTCGCAATTTTTCCCAATTAGGTATTGAAACTGTAGAAATATTTTGAAAAATGTTTATTATTTTTGGTAGGTGTCGAAATATAATATATAACAGCATTGTTAGTAAGTATTGAGTTTTCATTTTTTTTTAGTATTTCGACCCTACGTGGTATTCGTACCTACCAAAAATAATCAACATTTTTCAAAATGTTTCAACAATTTCAATAATTTTGAAAAATTGCGTATGTATAGGACAAATGACATCTTAGAGACAATTTAATTTTTTTTTACAAAATTTGTCCGAAATCGTATATTAAAATCGTACAGAGCTGCCACTATAAATGTAGAGAAAATAAAAACGTTCCCGATAGAACCGGTTATTCCCCTCAGCCGTGGATATAAACAACCATAATAAAACCGTTTAGGGCATCGTTCTTAAAAAAAACGAACCCTCGAACACTGACCTGATGCTCCCGTGTTACCAAAAACTGAAGCAAAACTGTTTTCGCTCACAAAGCCCCCGTTTGAAACTATCGGATTGGTCCTTGTCGGTTGAACGTCGTACCCTGCAAAATTAATTAGCCTGTTTTGCCTGTAAGAATGACTCGAAAGTTTTAAGCCTCACCATTGCCATTCACCACCCATGCACTCGTCAGCTGTTGCTGCATGGAAAAGTTGTTTGAAGCTGGAGCGGGTTGATTGAATGGATCGACAAACGGATTTGAGAGTTGCAGTAAGTCATCGGAGGCTTTGATAGATGCAGTTGGAGCTTCAGTGGTAAACAGATCCACGGCCGGAGTGGACTGATTGGAGACTGTTGCCGAAGATGATGAACTACTCAGGAACGGATTATTGGCGGTAGATCCCGGGGAAATTTTTGACTGCATACACAACAGCTATTAGTCACTCCAAAAACTCTATTAGAGGTAACTTGCCTTGAATTGGTTCATGGCTGCTTCCTCTTCAGCTAGAACCTTAAGCTTAAGATTCTCATCAATGCCGTTCACTGCGTCTAATCTGCCACTGGAGGCAATGGTTCCAAATGCATTGCTTGTGGAGTTTAATACGGACACTCCAGACTTAACACTCTTTTGATTATTGTTGCTAAAAAAGTCACGACGTCTTGACGAGATTGTGTCTAATAATCGTGTGCTCTTGCTTACCTTGTTGCACTTGAACTTGCAGAAGCTTTTTTCCCTTCCATATGATTGTAGTGCTGTTCTAGAGCGTCAAGTAGACTATTTGGGGCCTTTGTAAGGTCTGGAATGTCACCTTTATCTATGCCAACATTCTACAAAAGAAAATGTCACATCTGATCAATACTCAAGCTTATATGGACGGCGTGGACATACTTCTGCAACTTTTAAAAATTCAGAAACGCTGTCCATTCGTACGAGGAACTTCTTGTATATATCAAGGGCTTCTTTGCATTGCTTCTTGTTCATATCAAAGTACTTTTCTGGAAGGAAGAAGATTTTTAAATAAGTCCGCAATCGACTTTCAGTTTTATTGATACGTAATATTTTGAAATGGTCCCATGCTTGATTGGCCGCAGATGAAAATTTTTCATATTAAAACAGTACTCGCAAAAAACTGTTGAGCTACTAAATCTAAAAAATAATTTGAGTACAATGACAATTTTCAATAATCGATAAGAATAATTCGTAGAAACATAATTAAATTTGATGGCGTGCTAAAAAAGGCGTCCAATCAACGCATTCGATCTAGAACAATGCATTTTGATCCAAGTAAGTACCTTTATCAATTGCGATAAAAATGTGCCTGTTGCCTTACCTAATAAATTAATAATGGCATCATTGTAGCAGGCAAACAGTCTTATAAGATCCCTAAAAAGCAGCATAAAACACATATTTATGATACCATTGCTTAAGTCATTGGCAGTACAGTCGAAATCCAATAATGCACCCAGTTGGCTTTGGAGGACGGGGATCGTTTTGAGTAGCTTGTCCGGATTCATCGTGCGCATAACACCATCTTCCTTGCTAAAAGAACAGAACAATTATCGAATCAGTTTATGTAATTAATTGCTCAAACAATTATAAATGATCGTGATGGTTGCTTACCCTCGTTTCACTTTGCAGAAGTCAAAGGCCACAGATCGATAGGATAAAGCCTTCTCATTTAAATATCTGGCGTATCTTCTTATGAATGGGGACATGTCGTAACCTAAAATACACCAAATCTAAATTACTGATACCAGGTTTTAAAAATATATTTCAAATTATTTGCATTCATAATTCGACAGTGTTATGCATCACTCGACTAAACGCTATCCCCAGCTGGCACTAAGTTTTCTACCCATAAAAAATCTGTACGTGTAGAAATAGTCATTTTCGACACAAGGGCAAAAAGTTTTTTAATCGTCCCAATAACTGATTAAAAAAACGTATCGCCTCTACCATAAAAGCCATACTACAAAAACATAAGTGCAAAAACACCAAAAAGTATGTACTTTGCCAGATTTCAATCATCGTCAATATCACTTAATTTTTTCACTATCACTATATATCCAAAAAGTATTCTAAAATAATAAGTATTCACTGGTTTCGCGTATTTTTTAAACCCATTTTTACGTGTAACACATTGCGGCATAATTAGAAAACTAAGAGATTATTCTAATCGCTAAAATGAAAAATTCAAGCATGCAAACACACACCACTTACCAGTCTTTGAATTAAGGATTCCTGAGCATAAACATAAAAGTATTTTAGACAATTATCAATAAGTTTGCTTAACATTACTCATTACTTGCTGTGGGTGTACATAACAATTAAAATTATAATTAATAATGCAGAAACCCACCTGGAAGGCCACTTTTGTCTAGGAAATTGCTCAGTTGAAATGTACTGTTGCTTGATGCTAGGAATTGTGTAAATCTCTGAAAAAGAAACACATTTGTTCAGACATGGACATTTTTTTAAATCAGTTATTTAATTTAATTAACTTTATGGGATTGTCTAAATGCCTCGTAAGATCGACAGCGTTTTGAATATCAAAAAATTCGCAACAGCCAAACGTTTCAAACTGTTTCGAGCTCGATTTGGAAAGTGAAGATGTTCTGGATTTTGTCAATGGATTCGCGAAAAACACGATTGCTTAAATGCATTTTATTTACGGACGAAGCTTAGTTTACCCGATGGAATTAGCGCTATTGTCAAAATATGGTCGGAGGAAAATCCCAATGCTTCAAAAGAACACAACTTTCAATCCATAACTAATGGGACGCTGTTGCATGTCTGGTAAACGCTTTCACTCAAAACACTAGATAAATATAAAATATACTCTCTAGATAAATCGTTGTGAATTTGTTCCTTGTTAAGATTCGTGTTTTGATGAAGCAACCGAGTTCATTCGCTTTGGGCAAGCCAGGAATTCTTCAGTATCTCGGGGCTAAAACTAACAGAACTTTTTATTTGGAAGCTGGAATCAATTGATTTTTTTTTGCGTTGAGGCACTAATCCTTTTCTGTCATTTTTGTCCTCTCTGTAAAATCTTGTAGCATCCATACTTTTTGAGCAAAGAATATTTCTGTTCTCTTGTCAAGTGACAATTTTAGGTAGACTTTTAACAAAACCTAAATTTAGTTTTTTGTAATATAGTAAAGTGCTCAAATTGATTTTTAGTGAAACTTTTTGTAGATTTGCCTACGCCAGGGCTATATTTTGCTAAAAACTCGCTTCTGCACAAGCATTGATTTTTGCACAAGCTTGATAATTAATTTATTATAAAATAAAATTACCGTTTACTGGTACCTTTGCAGTTAATGTCTTAAAATGTTATTTAGCAAGGAAACTTCTATAATTGTTTTGCGCAAAAGCTATAAATGCTACAGGATTTTAGAAAGACCCCCAAAATGTTCCTAGACAATTAGTGCATCAACTCAAAAAAAAATCAGTTGATTTCAACCAAACAAAAACTTCTGGTAATTTTTGTACCAAGACACTCAAGAATTCCTCACGTGCCCAAAGCAGATGAACTCATTTGCTTCATCAAAACCTGAGTCTTACATGGAAACAAACTCAAATTTTTGACAATGAATAGCAGAGGAGATGCACATTTTTTTCTTAATAAAAGTGAGGTCGTATGGTCTTCTTTTGAGCCAAAGAATGCCTCTTGCCCTTTTGATCACGTGCTCACGGAACACCCTGTATTGCTATGGCTATGATTACAGCATCCAGTTACTGTACAGGTCCGTAATAAATAGTGCAAATTCTAGTCAAACTAGTGGTAGCCTTCCTTCGGTAGACGAATTTCAGTATTCACTAACTAGCGGTTTTTTCGCCCAGCTTTGAATCAAAAAAATGCATTTTATTGTAAACACACAGTTTTTCATGTGCTCGTCGATTCAGTTTAAGGAACTCTTTCAGTTCTCTCTACATGCAGATGTAGGTCGGGTTCAGTACGAGGATTGTGCAAAATTGAATCGAGATTATTATGAATGGTAATTCGAAAGATTTTGTTAATGACAATCAATCCTGCGTAAGTAATTCTAGTTGTACTTTTTAATTACGTTTAAATGTGGAGTTGAATAAGGCTTCATTTAAAATCCGTTAAAGCTGTTTCATGAAGCCATTTTTTTGGAGAATAAGTGCAGACTTTTAGATGAGTTATTGAGCTGGGGAGAACTAGTAGGTCCGAAACCGGTCTTTCAATTGCTTGCTTGTTAAACAGCCAGAAAAAGTTGAGCGCCGATAGTCATTTCTGTTCAATACAAGTACAGAGTTGAAAGTAAAGTTAATTCTTTAGAGAACCTAATATACATAGACCCAAGGGAGACGTATGTGCAATAGGGCAGTGCAAATATTGTTGAGGTTCAAACTTGAAGGAATAATGAAATTTATACATGGTGAAATGAAGAATATAAAACTTTGGTATTTTACACTTTTTGGCATACCTCAAGCTAACCGAAAAAAGAAAACGACAAAAACCCGATTTTCCAGTATAATCTTTGTTCGCGAACATAAATGATTAACTTAATTTACACGAAGATCTGTGAAAGTATGCCTCTGTTGGTGTTGAATTCACATGATTTTTTGCAGTTCAAAGGACGACTAGTTTTCAACTTATTCTCCTGAAAATTTTTTTCAGGATGCTGTGCAGGAGGACGTGCAAATGGACAGGCCAGCTAACGATAATGACGACAACGACGAAGGCACCTTCTACGTGGTAGAGAACCCCTCAACGATCTTGGATGATTACGTGTACAATTACCTGAACACAGCCTTGTATCAACGGCTCGCTTACATTGCGGATTGTTGCCCGCCTTTGCGACTGGAAATCCTAGAACATGCCGTTTTCGTCACTAGCCGAGCGCCCTTCGTGTATCAGGTTTGGGGTGTTGAAAATAGGCAATGGAAAATGCGGAACTGAAATGTATTTGACAGTTTTTCCATCACAGACTGGCCGTTGAGATAACCAATGCAAAGCGCCTGCAGTACGAACTCCCACCTTTGGACACTAAGAGGATTAAAGAGCAGCAGGAGAAGTCTGCTTCGACGATAGCGCGAATGGAAAATTCTTTGAGGTTCTACGAAAAAACCGGGGTCAAGGCGTGTATCTACAGGTTGGTTGAAACTAATTTGATTTGATTTTAAAAACGTTAGCATTTACAAAGCATTAGTACCTCGGAAAATTCGTCTTATAGTGCACAGTAGGTAATAAAGTCTTGCAGACATGACATAACATGCAGCTTATAACGAAAGAAAAAGTTTTCAAAAGTCAAACTAAAGAAAAACTTACCAGGACTTTGTGCAATAGTCTGCTTTAACTAATAATACTTCGTACTTTTAGGATTCATAATGAGTTAGCCGAGCATTATATGCAAATAGGGAACATTTGCAATGCCCTAAAATGGTTTTTAAAAGCTCAAGACTATTGCGTGAACGCCAAGCAGGTTATTAGCACGAATCAGAATCTGATCAATATAGCGGTCTTCCAGCAAGATTGGTCGCGTGTTCTCAGCTATGTGACCAAAACTGAGCAAACTCCAGGTAGAGGTCGACATTATGCCTCCAACCCTTTTTAATTGCAATGCATTTGAAGGTTTTAGAGAGGAGTTAATGAAAGATGAAAAGATTTTCACCCTTCTGAAATGTGCCGCTGGTGTAGCCCAGCTCTCTACCAAAAATTTCAAGGCGGCTGCCCACAGTTTCTTGCAGGTTTGTCTTCGACTTGTAACAATCAAACTGATTGTGCAGTATTAATATTATATATTGATCATTATAGACTTGTTGGGATTGTTGCGAATTTTCTGATATCGTGTCGCCTGGCGATGTGGCCATTTATGGAGGTTTGTGCGCTTTGGCCACTTTCAACCGATCAGAACTGCATTATTTCGTAATCATCAACACCAGTAAGTTCTTGGACAAGACCAAGAGAACCATCTGCTGATTGTTTGCCTGCAGATTTCAGGGAAATTCTGGAGGATGAACCCCCTATACGCGAGGCAATCTTAAACTTCTACCAATCGCGGTTCCCTGCCTGCAAGCAACTTCTCGACAGGATGAGGGGCAGACTCCTGCTAGACATTTATTTGGCCCCCCACGTCTCTACCTTGTATGCAAAGATACGTAGCCGCGGCCTAGTTCAATATTGCATGTAAGCAGTAGAGATTGAAAAGTTGCTAATATCTCGTGGTTTCGAATGCAAAAATCCGTTGCGTATAGATGGGAATAATCCTGTTGTTGTGGAAGCGATAGTAACAGTAAACATCTTGATCTCAAATTGTGCATGCAGACTTCTAAATATCAGACAGAATCTAAATATGTATAAAGTAAAGACAAAAGACATAGTGTCAGGTGTCAGCTTCGCAACATACATATTTTTTTTTTAATTTAAATTTCCTTACTCCTAACCGGAGAATGACTTCTCCATTATTTACTCCATTTCCTTAGTGAGAAGTCGTATTGCTCTCTCTAGCTCAATAATAATGATAAAAAATGACCTACCGAGGTAAAGAAAAATAGTAGTTTTCGATACAAGGGCGAAAAATGTCGTTTTTCGAACGACGAC